CGTTTTGTCGAGCCCGGGTCATTACCGGAGTGCAGGGGTGATCCTGTCAAGTGAGACTAAGTCAGGGGTGTCCCTAATAACTTAAGTCATGCATCAAGTCATATTGTCATCATGTATGTTTCATGTCACGTCAACATTCAATGTGGTTGTTATTCATTTTGTTATGTGTAACAATATCCCATCAAGTGCAAATTAATCTGTTAGCAAACATGTGGTTTTCCGTATGTTAGGTACGGGTATTAATATGTGTATAGCCATATGGGTTATCACTTAATGTTCTTTTGTTAGATTCACTCCTCAGCTTATGCTGAGCGTGTAGTTGTTTTTGCTACACGCAGGTAGACATGACGGTGCAGGTGCTAACCCTGGAGGACAGTGATGGTGGGAAGATGGGCGGCGCATGGACAAGTTCAATAATTAAATACAATTAATTAATTAATCATTTGGGCATGAACCCACCATTTGTCGTTTACTCTTTTATTTACTTCCGCTTTTACTCTGCATTTATATCACTCACGTTTTGGACATAACTCCTAGCATTTATTACACCAATTAAACACAAACATTTTCATAATAAATAGTCATTATTATCCCATCAATCAAACGTAACCGTTTTCTCATTAAAAATCATCAATGTTTTTGTAACGGACGGTTCTCGGACCGCCCATGTAACCCTATCGGTCTGTTGGGTCGCGGGTGAACCGGGTCCACGGAAGGCGGGTGTTACACCTAACTTGATCTAATTACTGACCTCTGCTTTCTATTCTCCAGTAATCTGATCACCTAACTTGATCTAATTACTGACCTCTGCTTTCTATTCTCCAGTAATCCGATCACCTAACTTGATCTTATTACTGACTTCAACTCTCTATTCTCCAGTAATCCGATCACTTAACTTGATCTAATTACTGACCTCTACTTTCTATTCTTTTACAATATTACTTTTAACAACTTATACAACTCGGAACGGACCACTCGAGGCTTGATCCGTCCATTCGAGGGACCCATGAAACTGGAGCGGTCCACTTGAGGCTAGATTCATCCATTTGAGGGACCCACGAAGCTAGAACGGTCCACTTGAGGCTAGAATCGTCCATTCAAGGGAGCCATGAAGCTGGAGCGGTCCGCTTGAGGATAAATCCATCCATTTGAGGGGCCCATGAAGCTGGAGCGGTCCGCTTGAGGATAAATCCGTCCATTCGAGGGACCCATGAAGCTGGAGCGGTCCGCTTGAGGATAAATCCATCCATTTGAGGGGCCCATGAAGCTAGAGCGGTCCACTTGAGGATAAATCTGTCCATTTGAGGGACCCATGACACCAGAATGGACTGCTTAACGCTAGAACTATCCATTGGATGGATCCTTGAAGTTGGAACGCTCCATTTGAGGCTGGATCCGTCCATTTTTGGGACCCATGAAGCTGGAGCGGTCCACTTGAGGCTAGATCCGTCTATTTGAGGGATCCATGAAGCTGGAGCGGTCCCCTTGAGGCTAAATCCGTCCATTTAAGGGACCCACGAAGTTGGAGTGGTCCACTTGAGGCTACATCCGTCGATGGCTCACTTAAGAGGACCGCCGCTGGAGTGGCTATGGGAAGGACCGCCGGAGAGGTCCGCGAAAGAGGACCGCCGGAGAGGACCGCAAAGAGGACCGCCGGAGAGGACTGCCAGAGAGGACCACTGCTGGTGGACCAACGGAAGGAGTGGCTCGGAAATGAGGACCGCCCGAAATGAAGACCGCTGGAAAGGAGGACCGCCGCCGAAAATGAGGACCGCTGAAAAGGAGGCTCACCACTGCCGTCGACGGCTTGCCACTGCCGTCTGCAGCTCCCCACTACCGTTTGCGGCTCGCCGGAGAGGATTGCTGCTGGTGTGGCTCGTCATAGAGAACCGGGAGTTGCTCGCCAGAGAGGACCGCGGGGGAGGTCCGCCGAAGAGGACTGCTGGAGAGGAGGACCGCTGCAACGGAGGCTCGCCACTGCCGTCCGCAGCTCCCCACTGCCGTTTGTGGCTTGCCGGAGAGGACCGCTGCTGGTGTGGCTCGCCAGAGGAAGAAAAAGCTCGTCTGAGGCGTGCCACCGCCGTCCATGGCTCGCCGGAGGAAGAGGGAGCTCGTCGGGGGCTTGCCACCGTCGTCCATGGCTCGCCGGAGGAAGAGGGAGCTCGTCGGGGGCCCACCGCTTCCGTCGCTGGTGGAAGATACTGCCGGTGGTCCGAATTTTGGCTAGCTGTTCGCCGGAAAGGATCTCCCTCTCTTCCTTACAGTCACATGTCTAAAAATCGCGCCTCTCCTTCGAAGGATCTGGGCGGCGACCAAGCTGAGAAGATTCCGTGACCAAGTGCAAAAGACTAGTCTCCCTTTGAGCAGAGATGTCGCCTCAGTCCACGAGTCTTTTTCCTTTTCTCACTTTTAAATCCCTCCACTCTCCTTTTTTTGTTCCCCATCCTCTATTTAATTTTTTTACCTTCTTTCTCACTTTTTTTCTCAATTATGGATTTGGAGCACAAAAGCTTTCTATGACCGGTCCCATGGATGGCGCCAGTGATGGAAACCGTTTTTTTGGGGCGTCGACCCGACGAAATCGATACAGGGTCGGCACCTCACCGAATAACGAAATTCGGAAATTAAATAAATAAATAAAGCGGAGAGAAAGTATTTATACGTGGAAACCCAAATCGGGAGAAAACCACGGGCTTTTTTAGGCGGTGTCATGCCAAAAGGGAGGAACTTTTATTAATTTCGGGGAATTTACATATACATCATTGTATGAGCTTGGAGCCATTAATGGAGCTCCAAGCTTAAAGAAGAAGAAGAATGAAGAATAGTAGTAAGTTGTTGTAGGAATCTGGCCTCCATCTTCCGTCCTTCGTAGCATTGTATTTAAAGGGGAGTACATGCATGAATCCCAACAATGCCATGAGGTGGCCATGTCACCTCCATGTGCATATGTTTAGTATATAGGCTCCACGGAATATTTTCACATCACTTCAAATATATTCTTCTATCCATATATCTCTGGTTCCGTCTTGATTAATTTACCCCTTACTTTTTCATACTATACCCTACGTATCATATCATACCTTTTTCCTAATAATCTACCCATCACATCCTACTTTTACATATCACATCAAGGGTATTTTTGGAAAGTCAACACCAAAATATCCCTCCCTTAATTTCCAAAAAAGTCAATATGTACCAATCTTTTGGAACGGGGGAGTATTATTTTTACCAAATCGGTATTCACATATTGTTAAATTATACTCCCTCCGTCCCAAATTATAATGCATGTTTACTATTCACAGGGTCAAACTTCATTCACTTACTTTCTCTATTTTTGTTAGCAATTTGATAAAATAAAATATTATTGTCACTACTAGTTTTGTAGATCTTTTGATGTAGTTTTTTAATATGTAATTTTTGTTTTTTAATTCTATACCATTTGTTATATAAAATGGTTTGAAAATAATTTATGTCAAATATCGTAAACTGAAACAAGCGTTATAAAATGGGACGGAGGTAGTATTATTATTTCACAAGTGAGAGTAAAAATAAAGTTTTTCATTAGCAAGTTCTATATGTTTTATGTAGTTTTTTATTTGAAAAATTTTGTCACGATGAAAAATAACAAAAACAAAATAAAATGTTCTACCCCGTACATGGCACGAGTCAAAATTCTAGTTAAATTTATAGAGTAGAATAGAATAAAGATAGGAGAATTTACGTAAATAGCACTAAAACATAATGACTTTTTCCTAAATAGCATCACATTCGTTTTTTTTCTCAATGTAGCACTTTCAGTCATTATTCAAGTAAATGTTCGTCATCACTTGACATTATAGACATTATTAAGTGCTATTTAAAAAACAAAACAATTTAAGCACTATTTATAGAAACGACTTAAGTAATTTTAGTGATATTTAGTCCAAATATTTGATAAAAATACTGTAAATATATGATAGTAAAGAAAATGGAGGATACTATCCCACCCAACGTACAATGTTTTGTGTTTGCAAATCACATCACAATAACAGAAACTATACCATAAAACATGTTTTATTTTAATAGGACAGCACACCAAAATAAAAAAGAACAACAAAAAACATGCAACAACTTCCTCTTGTTTTGATCAATTCATATATAGTGAATCATATATATAGAACCAATCATCATCATCATCATCATGATCAAGAACAGCCACCAGGACTGAAGCCCAGCCTCCCGCCTTCGACGTCGTACACCACATCAACAGTCTGCTGCTGCGTGTTTCCGAAAACGCCCATTTCGGTGGGGTCCTCGTTACCGGCGAAGGCCAGGCACACCTTTGACAAGTTGCTTTCGACCACGTACAAGATCCCGCTGGCCGGTAAATCCACACTCACGTTCCCGCTGAACCCAAAGCCTATGCTCGGGAGCTTAAGCTTACCCTCGCTTGTGTTGCTGAAGTCGAAGCAGGTGTCCAGTACGGAGACGCCTGGGACATTTCGGTAAGATTTCATCTCCTTCACGAAGGCGGATTTGAGCGCCACGTAAGCTGCCGGCGGGAGACGGGTTATGACGGTGCCGGAGTCGATGATCATTCCCGCTCTCTCGAAAACCCCCGGGTTGATGGGGAGGTTTTTCCCGCCCACGCTGATTGATAGCATTTGAATTTGGTAGAAATGGTTTTCCGTTCCCGTCGACAACGGCCTGAAACGGATACTTTTCTCGGGCGGAGCTGCGGCACTTCCCCCGAACTTCAGATAACCGCCGGTTCCGAATACCGTGGGGAAGCAGTAGGAGAACTTTTTGCCGTACTATTCGGCCGTCTGGGAGACGATAGAAGAGGGGCCGGGGCCGAGGCCCATAAGCCCAGAAGCCTCACGGAAAAGCCCCTCCTGGTTCTGCCCGCATCCGAACGTGAAGTTCTGGACGGTGTACAGTATCCCGTACACGCACGTAGACGACGAGGAACAAATCTCCCCTGGGTATCGTGTGTAGGACTGCAGGTCTAAGCACGCGTCAGAGTAGCAGGATATGGGGAAATAGGTGGTGGATTTACTCGGGTCGAAAATGGAGTCATTCTGCCGGTAGCATTTCTCCACGCAGGGAAGGCACTGAGTCCAGGTGAGGTCGGATCCGGTATCGAACATGAGGGAGAGGGTCGTGGCAGGGTTGCCGATTCCGACGGAGACGTAATAATATAATATCCCTCTATTACTCTGCATACATGTTTGTTTGTGTCTCACTGCCATGCCGGAATGAGTATGTATGTATATATATACATATATACTCTCTCCCTTAAAAAAAATGTTCAGAATATTTTGTTTATTTTTATGTTTTCATTGATTATTTGATAAAATAAAATATTCTTAACACCTCTTATTTTGAAAAAATATTTCATGTAGTTTTAAAATATATAAATTTTACTTTTTATTTTATTTCTATATCAATATTTAAATAAAATTATTTGAAAAAACTTAATATACCACATACGTCTATTTTTAAAAATTTTATTTAAAAACTTTAATAAAGTTTGAAATGTGGTATATAACTAGAATAATACGGAGTACTCCCTAAGCTTTACTCAGGATTAATTAATTATTATGTCTCTAGTTTCGTAGGAAAGAGGGCTTTTGCGAAATTACATACGTCTATTGTTTTGTACAAGCTCCACCAAAAGTCAAAAATAAATCTCCCTTTGTGTCAAATGAATTTGTTCATTTTCATTTCACAAAGATTAAAAAAGACATGGGTAAATTTAGACCCGCCAAAACATAACTACACCAATTATTCGAACTGATTTATCTGAAATTGAAACCAAAATGATTCAAAAAATGAAGATTTGATCAATAATCAAATATCTGAAATGATCCGGAATAGATTATATTCGAACCAACTAAACTCGAAATCGGTTAGATCTGAAACCGATAATACACGAAACTGATAATGCCCAAAACCGATTAGATCCAAAAACGATAATATCTGAAACCGAATAGAACTAAAACTGATAAAACACGAAAGTGTGTTTGCCTTTCAATGATCATATTACTCCCTCCGTCTTACTAAACCCTTCTTCTTTTTTTCATCCATCCCAAAAAACTCTTCTCTTTTATATTAAAAAGTCATTTTTACCCCTATTAATTCTTAATAACCTACATATCATATCACACTTTTTCTCTACTAATCTACTCATCTCATCCTACTTTATTTATCACATCAAAGGGCATTTTTGGAATGTCAACACCAAAATTTACACTCCTTAAATCCTTTAAAAGTTAAAATGAGAAGTGTTTTTAAGGGACGGAGGGAGTATACTTTTAAATGTTTTTACTTTTATTTTACCATTTGAACTAATTATATTACATTACATGCTTGAAATTTATTATATTTAGAAATTGAACAAAAATTATGCATATAAAATATGGGATAAATAAAGTGAGCCAACTATTTTATTATTAACAAAATTAAAGGTAATACAATATTTAAAAAACAAGTGAAACATCCGTTGAAAGAAATCAGATCTGAGAGTTAAAGATGAGTGAGAAACTGGGAATTAAGAAATGGGTTAAACGGTGGTATAAGAAAATTGATAAGATTAAGGAGAGAAAGTGAAAAAAAGGGGGGAACTTTGAGCTTAAGGGAAGAAGGTTAAACATGAAAAAATAAATCTTTGATTAGATATTATGTTTTATAAATACAATACTAATTTTAATTTAAATTACAAAAACTAATTAAAATAATATTATTTTTAAAAAAACTCCCTCCATCCCAAATAGAGTGCTAGATAACGCAAAACAAAGCAAAATTTAAAGTTTTTTAGATTTATTTTTTTAAAGATTGGTATAGAAATTAAAAAATGTTGACATCTTTAAAAAATATGTCAAAGGTTTTACAAAATAAAAGGTTTTAATGAATAATAGTTACTTTTATCGAATAATTAATGAAAACACACAAATAAATAAAATTTTCGTAATTTTTAAATAGAGAAGTGTGATTTTGAGACACAAGGATTATATAATGAATTGTATGGAAAAACTAGATTTTATCCTAATTTCATCTAATTACAATAAATTTTATTGCTTTGGGAGTTAATTTGATTAATTTCAAATCAATTCACTAAAAATTACTCGTACTTAATAACGTTAGAAGTTAGCATTATTGTTTTGAAAATATTCTATAACGGCAACATTTAGTATTATCATTTTCAAATTTGATTTACACCATTAAATTTAAATGTAAAATTAATTATATTTAAGTCTATTGAATTTAATTTTATCTAATTTCTCTATTTACAATAGCAGCAAGAAAATCTCTAATTTTATACATGCGAACGTCTCTTCAAATTTGGACTACCCAGGTGATTTTTTGGCGGGAAAATGGTCTTTGCAAACCAGAGCCAACTCAAAAATATTTGAATTTTGAATTTTTGAAAACCCGGGTGCCCAAGGCGGGAGAATCTTCATTGAAATCTGGTACGGAGCCGCCGATTTGCTGCTGCCGTTTCGTCTCCCCGAGAGGTTATGATGACGAATCATTTCGGCTGCCACGTGTCGTCTCGCTATTCGCTCGGCTGGGCGGCACCTCCCCTATATATGGCGAGGTTCCCCCTTGAATTTCCCACAATCACCAACTAAAAAACTGCCCGGTCGCTACAACTATTTCCGAGTCCTCCGAGTCTTCTAGTTGCTTCCAAGTAAGTCTCTTTCCTTCCCCCTTTCTAAGTCATGTCTGACCGTGAAGATAGCCAGAACCCTTCCGTTCATTCTTACGGTTCTGGCGACTGGTCTCAGACCTCTGGTTCTTCTTCTTCTTCCTCTTCCGAGCGCCCGATCTCTTCTCTACAGAAGAAGCCGGTTGACGCTTCCACTTGTGCCCCTTCTTCTGTGGCACAAGTGGTCTCGTTTGCCTAGTCTGGGGACGAGGGCTTCATTCAGCTGGACGACCGGTTGCTCCAAGAGCAACCGTCGCACATGCAGAAGGCTCAAGTCCACGAGCTGCGCAACCTGATGCTAAATGGGTATCAGTTGACCTACCGGGCAGCGTGGAAGAATATTATTTCTCTCCACACTGGTACGAAGATTGGTATCCATTACCATTCCATCAAAGACTTGGGTGAATTCTCTATTCACCCATTCAAAGTCCTCTTCTTCGAATCATATGGGATCATGCCCGGGCATGTGGCCCCAAATGGTCACCGTATGTTGAGTAGTTTCATCAACATTTGTCGTTTTCTTCGCATCCCTCTCTCTCTCTCAGCCTTTTCGATCACATGTTTGATGTCCGGCCCGGATCCAAGGAAACCCTTGGATTTGTGGTTGTGTCCTCCCATCAAAGCCGAGCATTTCTTTCTCGCATTCCTCCTTCCAACACAAAGTGAAACGATAAATACTTTTCCATGAAATTCCCCTCGGCTGCTTTTCCCTTCGCACAGAATGTCTGGGGGAAAAGAATGAAGCGTTAGGTCAAACCCGCGGAGTCCGATGACCTGGTCGCCTGGGAATCCACTCTTCAGACCGGGGACGCCTCCACCCGCGCTCTTTACAAAGTCGAGAAGTGGGGGGTCTACCCTAGTCGGGAGACTGATCCCGAGCCGGAGATTATCCTGGCCGAGGCGATCCCTAACGCCATTCCCATCCGCCAGGTGAGAGGATCCAAAGCCCCGGCCACCGCCACCGCCGGTCCTTCACGCTCGGGGAAGAAGAAGGAAAAAGGTCTAACCCTATTGCCCTCCTCAATTCTTTCGCACTTACTTTTTACAACTCTGTTTTTCTAACCGGTCTTTTTCTCTTTGTTTCAGTGTGAAGTTCCACTCCAAATTTGCCACCCCAAAAATCATCACCGAGGAGCCCTCGTCTGCTCAGCCACTCAGCCAACCCTCTAGCCAACCGTGCTCCTTGGATGAGCAACCAGCCCAGTCTCACCAGGGGACTAGTCAGCCAATCCACTCCAGGGAGATCTACATCAACGTATATACCATGGAGTTCGACCAGCTGGTGCAGGCCGGTCAGGGCGGCCAGCAACCTGAAGGGGGGCGCGATGAGGAGGAGGCTCTTCAGAGGAAGAGGCGGAGGGCTGAGGAGGTTAGGGCAGTAAACGGATAACTAAAAACCCGATTACCGTCCGCATCCGTATCCGTTTAAAAAGGAAATATCTGCATCCGTTTTAAACGGATATTATCCGTATCCGATTAAGGATATCCGATTACTAAACGGATACGGATTTGGTAATTGTATATCCGATCCGTTTAAAATCCGATTCGAATATGCATCCGTTTAAATAACCATTTATCCGAATATCCGATCCGTTATATATAGTTTTTCCTAAGTTTTTTGTGTTTATATTTTGTTTCTCTATTGATATTTCAAAGTATAAGACATTTTTATATACAAAATAAATGTGTAGACACAAAAATATATGTAGACATATAAAAATAGGTGTATATGTGTGTTGTGTATATATTTTTATCACATGAAGTTATCGTAGAATATCATAAATCATGAAAACAAAGAAAATAATTATCTCATAAAAAATTATAGTTGATTTAATAATAGTTTGACTTTAATCCAGTTTAAAATTAAAGTATTGTTTAATTTGATTTTAAAAATTGGAAACGGATATGGATATATCCGATATCCGGCCAATATCCGACGGATGCGGATACGGTTTTGATTTTCAGTATCCGCCAAGATCCGTATCCTAATTCTATATCCGACAAAAATAAACAGATACGGATTTGGTAATGGTACATCCGATCCGATTAATATCCGTTTACACCCCTAGAGGTGGTGGACCAGCTGGCCCAGTCCTCCGACACCGGCAAAGCACACGGCGAGCTCCTGCCGTTCGCCCTCTTGGTCCGGTCTGACCAGGAGCCTTACCAGGCCTTCCAGTGTGATCTGCAAGAGGTAAATCCCCCACTCTTTCTGTCTATTTTATTGTATTCCCAATTTATTTCCTTGAAAAATTTCCATGTCTTTAAAGCAGGTCGGCTGGATCGGCCTGGAGTACTTCACCCGGCTGGTGAAGTCCAAGGATGAGGAGATGGTCTGGATGGAGGCCATGATGGTGGCATGCCGAAAGGATGCCCAGGCTGCCCATGCCAAGGCGGAGAAGGCGGAGTAAAAGCTGGTGGAACACTGCGCGGTCAACCACAAGCTTTATGCGAAGCGTGAAGGACTGCTGAAGGCCGCGAAGGAGGCTGACGAGCAAGCCCAGGAGAAAATCCAAAGGCTTGAAGCTGAGAATGCCCGGTCTGCTAAAGAGATTTCCCGGCTGGGGGATGAACTGGAGAAAGAGCGAACCAAACGTGCTTCTCTCGCGGCTGCCTGGGCGATCCAAGAGCCAGAGCAGTTCGCCAACAGGGCTATTGCTGACCGGGATGCTGCCATCCTGTTGCTGCAAGGGCTCTACAAGCATGAGCCCTCATCTAAGGTTGTCCATGAAATCGCGACCTTTGCCTTCGAAAGTGGCCAGTATGACGAGCGTCGGGCCCTGTATGGCATTCTTCAGCAGCGGATCCAAGGCTTCGAGCCCAAGGCCTTCTCTCTGCCCGAGATGCACGATGAGGCGCCGGTTCCCCCCTTCCCAGGGATCTGACTTCTGAGCCTTCTCTTTTTTTTTTATTCTTCGTATGTAATGATCTGCCTCCGGGCGCTCTTTTTTGTTGTAAGACTTTAATATTAATGAAAGTTCTATTTTCCATATGGTGTGCTGAGTGTCTCAGTACTTTATTTTCACTTTTTGTTTGATATATAAATCCCGTTCAACTCTAAATTTTTGACCGCATAGATTAGTAAGTTACAGCCCGGCTGCAATTTCCCGATCTCTTACACAGTCTTACCTAAGTCCTTTCGAAAGACTTACTGGGTGGCCGGGGAGAGAATAGATCTGACCCATCTTCTCCCGGTCGGTTTGTAGACCCGCGATGGCAATTTGACTTGTCCTTTTCGAAAGGATAGTCTTTTGCCCGGGCGCTCGTGAAGCCGGCCTGTCTTTCACAACGGCTTACTGCCCTTTTAGATACATAACTAACCGGGATGCTCTCCCTTTAGATACGTCATTTGACCTCCGTGTTAGTACAGATGAAATGTATGATCGGTTCGACCGGTCTATTTTTTTTTTGAGATGTCTAATTCGATTGGACATCTAGCCGGCCAGATTGGTGTGTGACCAATTACCGGTTGGCGTTAAGGAACAATCTTTCTGAAAAGAACAAAGTTTTATTCATAACCGGGAACTCATTACACTTTATCTAAAGAATTTACGCAAGTGGTGAGAGTTCCAATGCCGGTCAACTCGCCCTCCTTCCATGGTTTCTAGCTGATAAGTGCCCGGCCTGATGATCGCCCTTATGCGATAGGGTCCTTCCCAGTTGCGCACTAGCTTGCCCCTTTCATTAGGCTTACTGGCATCCCTTCTGCGTAAGACTTCATCATGCACTTGGAAGTAACGTGGACCCACCCAGTTGTCATGATATCTCTTTACTGACTGCTGGTAGCCGGCCATCTTGACAGCTGCCATGGTCCTTCATTCTTCCACCAGATTTAACTCAGCTAGGTGGTCGGCTTCGTTCTGATCGGGCTGATAAATGGTCTCTCTAAACGTTGGGAATTCTGCCTTAATTGGAAACCGGGCTCCACATCCATAAGTAAGCACGAAAGGAGTCTCCCTGGTTGCTCTTCTCGAGGTGACTCTGTGCGCCCCGATCGTGTGAGGTAGTGCTTCCAACCACTTGTGCCCTTCTTCACCCAACCTCTTCTTTATCCCGTCCACTATCGTCCGGTTAGCATTTTCAACTTGGCCATTTCCTTGCGGATATGCCACTGACGCCTTGTTATGTTTTATTCCAAAACTAGCCAAGTATGCAGTGAACCGGGTGTTGCGAAACTGTGGGTCGTTGTCGGTGACAATCATTTTTGGGGCTCCAAATTGGGTGACAATGTTTTTCCAAATGAATTTTTCACATTGTCGTACGTTTATAGTGGCCATCGCCTCGGCTTTTATCCACTTAGTAAAGTAATCAATAGCGACCATCACAAACTTCTTCCCTCCTGGCGCGACCAGGAAAGCCCCAATAATGTCAATCCCAAATCGGGCAAAGGGTATGACATTAGAGGTCGGTTGATAATATGTAGCCAGTCTGCCGGGATGTTTGTAAAAGACTTGGCATGTCCTACATTTTTGCATGTACCGCTCACAATCCCCAACAATGGTCGGCCAATAGTAGCCGAGCAGTATTATCATTTGGGCCAATGTACGGGACATTTGATGGGCTGCACAAACTCCTTCATGTACCTCGGCTATCACTCGTTCTGCTTATGGGTTGGTGAGACAACGCAGTAGAGGTCCACCAATGGCGCGTTTGTATAAGTGACCGTTCAGTACCTGAAACCAGGGAGCTCGTAAGACAACCTTCCAGGCTCGTTCTTCGTCGTCCGGTTTCTAGCTGGTCATTAAATACTCCATGAGATCGTATCTCCAGTCATCATCCGCTTCAATCACCCCGGTAGCTGGGTTGATCCAAAACCTCAATTTTTGCCAACTTCGACACATGCTCCAGGCAGGCTTGCATTAACTTTGAAAGCATATGAGCATCGGTGTTTTCTGACCGGGGTATCCTGGTCAGATGAAACTCTTCTAACTCCCTTAGAAGTGCTCGGACCAGGTCACTATACCGGGCCAGACGCTCCTCTCTGATCTCCATTTGTCCGTTGACCTGGCCGAGGACCAGGCTTGAATCAGAACGGATCCTCATTCTCTTTATCTCAAGCGCCCGGGCTAATCTGAGTCCACCGGCTAATGCCTCGTACTCCGTCTCGTTGTTGGTGACCTTGAAGTTAAAAACCAAGGCATGGTAGATTTTGAACCCTTATAGAGTAGTAAAGACTATGCCGGCTCCGCATCCCTTCAGTCTAGAGGCCCCATCAACGGCCATGTCCCACCACGGTTCGACCATATGGGAAGGTCCGGCTTCAGACTCCAAACCGGTCAGTTCAACAAGGAAGTCGGCCAGAGCTTGACCCTTGATCGCGGTTCTAGGCTTACACTCGATCTTGAACTGAGTGAGCATCATTGCCCACTTGATCATCCGTCCTGAAGAGGTTGAATTTCGGAGGACCGGCCCAAGTGGCTGATCGGTCAGTACGTCCACAGTGTGAGCTTGGAAGTACGCGGTCAGTTTTTTGGCCGTTATGAAAAGTGCATATGCTGTTTTTTCAATGGCAGTATACCGGCTTTCTGCCCCATTAAGTGCTTTGCTCACGTAGTAAATAGGCCTCTGGCCGTCTTCATTTCTTATCAAAACAGAGCTTACAACGTTTTGGGATATGCCCAGATACAAGTACAAAGTTTCACCCGGTTTGGGCTTAGACAAAACTATATCAGAAACTAAGTACTCCTTCAGCTGCTGGAAAGCTTCTTCACACTCCCGGTCCCATTCAAACGTGTTGGCCTTCTTCAAGACTTTGAAGAAGGGCAAGGCTCTTTCAGCTGATCGGGAAAGGAAGCGGCTCAAAGCTGCTAACCGCCCGGTGAGTCGCTGCACGTCCTTTAGTGAACCGGGCGACCTCATCTCGGTTATGGCTTTAATCTTTTCGAGATTAGGCTCAATGCCTCGCTTGGTCACCATGAACCCCAAAAACTTTCCGGTCTTTACAGCAAAGATGCATTTCTTGGGGTTGAGGCGCAAGTTGTACTTAGTCATGATCTCAAAGCACAGCCTCATGTCAGCCGGGTGGTTCATTGCTCCCGGGATCTTGATCAGCATGTCATCTACGTAGGCTTCCATGGACTTACCGAGGAGTGGCTTGAAAATCTGGTTTACCATCCTCTGATAAGTAGTGCCTGAATTCCTAAGTCCAAAAGCCATCACCCGGTAGCAATAGGTGCTTTCAGGAGTTAATAAAGAAGTTTTTTCTTCATCTTCCTTCGCCATGAAGATCTGATGGTAGCCTTTGAAAGCATCCATGAAGCTCAGCAACGCACACCTGGCCGTCTCATCGACCATTTGGTCGGGACTGGGCAGCGGGTATGAATCCATGGGGCAGGCCTTGTTCAGATCTATGTAGTCTACGCACATACGCCACGTGTCGCCCTTTGGTGCTAGGATGACATTTGCCAGCCAAGCCGGGTACTAGACTTCTCTGATGTGCCCGACCGACAACAAATCCTTCACTTCTTTCTTAACGAAGTCCCTCCGGACATGCGCCAAGTGCCTTTTGTTTTGTTTTACCAGCTGGCTACCATCGATAATTGCCAACCGGTGGCATATAACCGATCGGTCGATGCCCGGCATGTCCGCCACACTCCAAGCAAAAATATATCGGTGGCTACCATCGATCATTGCCATTCTCTCCGGAAATGCTTCCCGGAGAACAATCTGCTCGGTCTCGTCAACCGGTTCCAGCTTTGACCGATCCTCTTCCTGGGAAACCAGGGTAACCCTTTCAAATGCCTTGGTCATTTTCTTTACAGCCTCTAAGTAACAAGACCGGGCCTTCTTCTGATCTCCTCTAACGTGTCCTATACCGCCCGGGGTATAGAACTTCATACAGAGATGGGCCATAGAGATGATTCCACGGACTTTATTTATTCCAGGACGGCCTAGGATGGCATTGTGAACACATTTGATGTTCACAACCACGAACCTCATCTGCTTCTAGATCACCTTGTCTCCCGTGCCCAATTCGCAAGTTAGGAGGATTGATCCCTTAGCTTCAACAGAGTCCCCAGTGAACCCGGACACGGGAGTCTTCAAGGGCTCAAGCCGTGTTCGACACAGCTTGAGTTTCTCAAATGCCTCTAAGTACAAAATATTGACACTACTGCCCGTGTCAACGAGTACCCGGGAGACATCGACTCCACCCATATCCATGGTTATGACCAAGGGATCATTGTGATCTTCACCGGTGGCGGGAAGGTCCCGATCTGTGAAAGTGATCGACTCCCTTCTGGTTTGCTTCCTCCGAGGATCCAAGGCGACCGTGCCGACATAGAGTTCCCGTCCCCACTTCTTTCTTTGGGAAGCAGAATCTCCACCTTCCGGTCCACCATAGATGATCTGAAAGTGCTCCTTGCCGGCGGTGACTTTCTTCTTCTTATTCTGCTCGGCCGGTTGTCCTTCGGGCCTGACCCAATGGTTCTTCTTTGGTTTCGCCTCAGCCAGATACTCTGGGTCAAGCTCTCTTGCCTCGATCATCTGCTTTATTACCCCCTTAACACTATTGCATTCAGCAGTGTTATGGGAGTCCGTTTTGTGGAAAGAGCAATACTTCTCGGTCCATTACTTCTCCCCAGCGGGTTTTTTCTCTAACATGGCCGGCTTTACTTCCAAGACTTCTGCTTTTACCCTGTCAGGCAGTTCGATTTCCTTTTTCAAGGAAACCCTTCCCTTGGAATGGCCTTGCTCGGCCTCCCTTTTGGATGACACCTGTGTTTCGGCGTCAGCATAATCCCAGGCCGTGTTGTAGGCCTCCTGGTATTACTGGGGAGGGCTCCGGCAGAAATCTTTATACAATTCTTCGGAACAAAGCCCGGAGACCAGCAGGGACATGGCTGTTTTGTCGTCCATTTCCTCCACCTTATCCACCTCATCCTTCCACCGGGTGAGGAACTTCGTTAGATCCTCGTGTTCTCTCTGCCCGTCCATACTCAAATAGGTGAATTTCTTCCTCTTGGTACAATTTTCCTTGAACTTCTCTTGGAACACCTCGGCCAGTTCGTCGAAAGAATCGATCTCGCCGGCCGGGAGGTTGTGAAACCACTCAGCGGCTCGGCCATGGAGGGTCTGGAAGAAAAGCAAACATTTTTCATCCCCAGAAAGGCCCATCATCCTCCCGCTCTGGTAGAGGGTTTTGACGTGTATTTCCGGGTCCTCCTTCCCGGTGAATTTCGGGACCTCAAGCTTTGCCTTCTTTGGAAACGGGGTCTCATGAACCCGGTCAGTGAACGGAGATTCGTTTAGTAAGATTTTCTTCTTCTCGTCCCGGTCCACCCGTTGTTGCAACTTCTCCAAACGTGATTCAACCCGGCCCACACGGTCCCTGGGTTGCTCTATGTGGGTGCGAACCGTGTGCCTATGATGGCTTTCCGCTTCTTCTTCTCCTTGGGGCACCCGGTTGTGTTGGGGTTCATCGCGAGGGGGTGGTTCCGTGCGCCTGGTCCGACCAGGTCACCCGACCCCTCCTCGAGTCGGTCAAAGGCACTCACCAGGGTAGTCTCCACTCCTAGCCGTTCTTTGGCCGGCCGGTTCTGATTCCTGCCGTCATGTCCCAGCCTTTGAAACGCTGATCTCCTTGATCCTTTAGGCTGGACTACTTTTCCTTTTAGCTTCTTTTGGGCCTGGGGTACATCCCAGTCCTCATCCTTGCTGTGGATTGATCGCACACCGCCATCTGGTGTGACCTCGATCTCCGGGACTGGCTTCTTCTGGACCGGGACGGACCAACCTTGTCCATTTCCCCGATCAGATTTGTTGGAAAGACCGGCCAGATGATGCTAGTTTGGGGTAAAGACTGTGGGTACATCCCGGGAATGAAGGGAGAAAATCCCCCTAGTTCTTGAAACATGGACATGAACTGTCCCAAATTTTGGAAAGCCTGGGAATACATCGGGTTCATGGGCCCGGGAAAGTTTGGAAGGAAAATGGGGACATAGGGTACAAGGGAAGTGAATGGAGTAGGCGTTGGAAAGGTGATTATGGGGGTGGGGATTGTTGTTGATGGTTGGGCACTCCCTCTCGGGAATGATATAACGTTCTCCACGGGAGTAGAGATTTGTGAAATGACGGTTTCTTGGTTACTTGCCATGGCTTTTTTGTAATAAGTCCCACAGATGGCGCCAATTTGATGGTGTAAATTACCACGCAAATACTAAGTATAAGTAATCGGAAGGGTTGTAGGTGGAAACACCTGTAACCCGGTTTGTTATTAATGATAATAGGAGCTATTACAAAGTACAAGCCGTGTGGATTAATTAAAGTCTGCCTCACAAATGAGGTTTTTAGGGGTATTTATAAAAATCCTAAGCACGTCAAGCACGTCTCGGATTATCCGGTCGGTCAGTGAACTGACCGGTCCCCTAGGTCGACTTCAATAATAGAATCTGTGTCTTCGCTGTTAGACAAGGCGTGCAACTCTAGAGGGGGGGTGAATAGAGTTGTTGAGAATGTTTACCGATTTTCGCAGGATTAAATAAGATAAACGAAAGTGCAGCGGAAATAAAATAGAGAAGGCAAAGAACACACCGATGTATACTGGTTCACCACCTCGTGGCTAGTCCAGTTCCCCGAGAGACTCTCTCGAAGCTACCACTACTTTCGTTAAGCTTACGGGTGCTTAACAAACCGTTTACAACTCGAGAACTTGAATCCCACAAGCCTCGACACAACCGCTCGTAGATATGCTCTCTACAAGACTTCACAACCAAGACTTAAATCACATAAGCCTTGAACAACAAGAAGAACAATCTTCTTCAACCTCTCAGCAATAACTCTCACAAGAGTAGAAATGAGAAAAGATTAAGCTCTATGGATGACAAGAACACTCTCTTGAAAACACTTAGTTTTCTCTCAAAATATATCAATTTGAGGAAGAAATGAATGGAGGATTATAACCTCAAGATTGGG